CCCCCCCCCCCCCCCGCACTGCACCCATAAACCTGACGATGTCCTGGGTACCGAACGGCCCGCGGGCCAAGCGTACTTTCCATGTTACAGGTCGGGAGGAAAGAGTCGCCTATATGCCGGGTTGTTGGCCAACTGGTCCTGTTCTCGGCAAGGGGGGGAAGGGGCTGGCCCAGACACCTGGCCCCGAAAGCTATCCCCCCGGGGAGGTCTCTAACTCGGGCCCAGTTAATTTATCGAGAGCGTGATCGACAGACATCTGTCCTCCGATCAAAACCACATGATATCAGGGTCATAAGCACTCTCGCGTGCTTGGGTTCATCCGGGATCTTTTCCTGTGCGATCGCGCGTGTGAGCCCCTCATCGTGAGCGCCACTTACCCCGACGAGAGACCATCCAACGAGAGCCGTGTCGCGTTGCCCGTGGGTCGCTCGGAATATTAAACCACAGATCCAGCGAACCGAAGAACGCTGGATCGGCGGGGGGCTGTGGTGGCTTTTTCCCGGACCTGTTGCCTCGTAGTGTGCCCGCCTCCCCTCGCGCACGCACGCGCACACACACTCACACACGCTCATGGGCCTACACGCCCACTCAATCAGACATACAATCACACACACACACACACTCACACACACTCACACACACACACACTCACACACTCACACACACACACTCACACACACACTCACACACACACACTCACACTCACACAATAGCTCGGTCTCGTTGCCAGCACGCCCCTACTTCGCCCCTGCCCAGTCCCCTTCGCCCTGCTTTTCTGCTCGCATACATGGGCCACGCGACCTCTCCCAGACAAAGCCATATGCTTTTTCGCGCGCTTTCCTGGGCGCTCCCTGTCTCTCCGTATCTCCGCCAGGATGAGGTGTGTCTGCCAGTGCCCATTTCTCGTCCTGCCGCTTCCCCCTCTGCCCATTTCGTGCGCGTACCTCCCCCCCCCCCCAGGCTCAGCCCCGTCTGTGCGCGCCGATGGCATCGTCGACGAACCTTCCCCGAGCCAGCCCCTGTGCATTATGTCGCATGCCAATTAGTTCCCAAGAGATGGACGACCGTAGCAAGCGGCGCCAGGGCACCGAGAAAAGTGAAGCGCAATGCGAGAACTGCATTTCCCGCGTGGAGTTGCCACGGCCATCCCCACCTCGCACGCCAAGGGAATGGGGGGTAGTGTACTCCAGGTGGAAAAGTGCGCACGGTGTATTTCAGGGGGCCGAGCGAGTGTGAAGAGGGGAGACATGGGAGAATGAGGGCTGGGGCCGGGAAAAGAGGGGAGAAAGCCGGGGACACAATCTCGACGAACATGGCCTGTCTTCGGGGGTGGGGGTGGGGGGGGGGTGAGCGAGGAGAAATGGCAACACTCATGACTCCGCGCCCCCCCCCCCCCCCCCCCCCCCTCCCCAGAGGGAGAGGGAGCAAGCGGATACACACCCGGCCCCGCGGAGATGACCACGAATTTGCGCAGGGCCCCACTGTCTGTTGGATCAGGCCCGGGAACATGGGCTTCGGCACCGCACGAGCAAGATCGCTCTCTTGTCGCGAGGCTCAGCCCCCCCCCCCCCCCCCCCTCGCCGGGTCATTTGATCTCCCCTTGTCCATGGGTAGCTGTACTTGGCATCTTCTCGGCTAGCGCGCGTCGTGCAGACATCCATCCATCTGTGTGTGTGCGTGTGTGCACTTCGCGAGGAGATATCTCCCTGCCCTCAGTGGGTTTTCTTTCCGGTGTCCTCGAGGAGGGAGGAGTGCAGGTGACGATCTTTGGACGCGGGAATGGCAACCACATGCGGCCTAGCAGGGCCAACCTCTGAGCCGGCACCCAGGAGCTTGGATTTCTTGTCCGCCCCTCTGACAATGGTATCACCCAGTGGCGAGGAGGAGGGGCTGTCATTTCGCGTGCCCAAACCCGGGGAGTGGGCCTCCGAGAAGGTAGTCACGTCCATGGAGCCCTGGCGACCGGGTGAGATCTTCTTCGTGTCCTCAGGGACTTTGAAGCCCGATATAATGGGCCAGGCGAGGCGAGGGAATGGGTCCAAAAGTCAAACTGGATGAGTGGGCAGCACGAGGCGGGAGGGAGGGAGGGAGGGAGGGAGGGGGGGGCGAAGATGCGTCCTGCATCCGCGTGGGAGCGGTCGGGGTGACGTGCACGCGCGCGTGCCCCCGTGCAGGAAAGACGGAGGGAAGAAGGAGGCAAACACGCGGGGCCGCAGGGATCGGTGGCTAGGTGGGGGGTGGGGGTGGCCGAGAAAGGGCCGAGGCAAATGGCCGCCCCCCTCGGGAGAAGGCACGCACAACTGTTTGGGGACTTGGGCGAGATGGTATCGGCAGATTGAGCGGAGGATATGAAGGACGAGTATGCCGGCTGCGGGCTGGCATGGTTCGCTGCCGCGCCCAGGATCGAGGCAGACGGCGACATGGGTGGCGGAGTAAGCGGCATCCCAGTGGTTGGATGTGTCACTTCCCGAGGGGATACTTGTGGGGATGCCGAGCTGGACACCGACGGGAGCGAGTCATCCTGCTTCGGCATTCGCAAATGGACCTTCTCGCTGACAAGAGCACTGTCCTCGGCTGCCGCGCGGGGGCGCTTCCGCGGCGACAGGGAGCCAGCTTTGGCCGCGGTAGAGTGAATGTCCTGTGGTGAAGGAGCATGCTCGGGGGGAGAGAGGGGGGGGGGGAGGGGGCACATGCAGACAGTTAGGGAGGATGCATCGGCAAAGATGGGAGGCCCGGCCGGGGCGCTGGACTTAAAAATGGCAGCTACAGTGGACGGGGTATAGATAGGGGGTTTCGTTTTTTTCTTTTTTTTGCCAAGCCCTCTCTCTTCTCTCTCACACACATACACACATACATCCACGCTCGGCATGACCTTCACTACTGTTCACGATTCGCCCACTCACTTGGAAAGGCACCTTTGGAGCCCCAAAAGCGGTCCTCCCCTCGCCCCTCCTTCCGGCTCTCTGCGCCCTTTTTCTTTTGCCCGTGGGAGAATTGTCCCTGAAATGGGTGCATGGTCACCAAACAGGAAACACACCACGTCCGAGAGCCTGAATGTGATCAGGGAGAGCTTCGCACGACAAGGCACACCCACTCGAAGAGCGGACGGGAAGGCATATGAGAGAGGGACATGTTTGCACACACACACACACACACACACACACACACACACACACACACACACACTCACTCACTCACTCACTCACTCACTCACTCACTCACTCACTCACTCACACACATGCACACAGATACACATACACATTCACAAGCACACATGCACACCAATCAAAAGGACAGAGAGGGCGGACCGCAAAGTGAAACACATGAGAGACAAGGAAAAAGGGGGAGATGGGAGGGGGGGGGGGGGAAAGGTGCGAAGGAACAGGACATAATTATTCGAGTGAAAAAGTATGCGTTCACGACACCCCGACTGAAAGGAGGAGAAGAAGAAGTGGACAACAGGACAGGCGCGGATAAGGGCGCTGACAGTGCAGGAGGGAAAAAACCCCGGGCCAACACACACAGACACAGAGAGATAGAAGGCGCCCGAGGGGGAGACATATTGCCCCGTTCTTCTAATCCCACCCCTTGCAGCCAGATGACGGGCGGGGGTGCAGAGGGGGAGGGGAAAGATGGGACGAGGAAGGGGGCCACAAAACACACGAGTCGGGCTACACGCTAGGCGGCAATGACTTGCACTCTTATACTCACGCCAGACAGCACACACGCAGGAGGGAGAGAGAGGGACACATACCAGTGGAGCCCGATGTGGTGACGCGGGTGGGTGGAGGAGGCTCGCTACCGTTGACGAGGGCCCCCGGCCGAGCTGCCGCCGCATCAGCCACAGTGGTGGTCACTAGCGCCGCCAGATCCGGGTGCGCGCTCATCAGCAAACGAAGGGCAGCCAGCTCCGGGGAGAGACCAGTGGAGGCTGTGGCAGCCGCGGCCGCGGCCGCAAGCGACGGCAGGCGGTCAAGCAGGCGAGGAGAGTCGCCGTGTGACAATGCAGGAGAGGCGAGGGAAGGGGGGGAGGAGGGAGAGGGGGAGAGCACACCCGTCCGGGGAGAAGCCACGCCATGGTCGGCATTCGCGGCAGTCCCGCCAGCTGGTGGGCGAAGGAGCCCTGCAGAGAGAAGAATGTGGGTCAGATGAGCGGCATCCAGCTTTGGCTCAACGGTCGAATCCCCCGAGGACCGACCGCCGGGGAGGGGGCTGCCGGCGGTCAGTCGATGGCTGCTGCTGTCGAGAGGGATGGGAGGAGTTGAGCTGGCGCTGGTGCTGCCATTGGCGCCCGCAGGGGAGGGTGCAATCATCGGAACCACATGGTAAAAATGCGACTGGGCATCAGTTGGCGGCAGGGGATGCTGCTGCGGCAGGTGATAGGGCTGCTCAGCCGCGGGAAGGCCCCCGGTGCTGAGCTGCGCTGCCTGCGCCGCCTGCACTGCCTGCATTTGCATCAGCTGCTGCTGTTGAGCATAGAAGTGTTGGTATGCCTGGGCCTGTTGGTGCTCGTGCATGCGCTGCCGATGGGCCTGCTCCAATGCCGCGTGTTGCTGCTGGTGCTGTTGCTGGTGCTGCTGCTGGTGCTGGTGCTGGTGCGGCTGCTGCTGTTGGCGATGTTGCTGCTGCTGCTGCTGCTGCTGCTGCTGCTGCTGCTGGTGCTGGTGCTGGTGCTGCTGCTGGTGGTGGTGGTGGTGGGAGTGTGCCGGCTGTGATTGCATCTGCCGCTGTTGCTGGTCAGGCAAATCAAAGTTGCCGGCAAACATGTGCGCCGCAGCGATTGGCTGAGGTGCTGGGTGGGAGCGGGTGGCCGCAGGGGTGCGCATCGGCGTGGCAGTCGGTGAAGCGACAGCTGGAGACCGACCAGCACTCACCGGGGTCGGAGCAAGTCTCGGGGCTGGACGTTGCTTCGGACTTGTCTGCCGCTGGCGCTGTGGTGCCATTTGCTGCTTCTGCTGCTGGTACGGCTGCTGCTGCTGCTGCTGCTGCCGTGTCGGCGGTGGCAGTGGCGCCTCGTGCGGCTGGTGCTTGACGGGCTCCTTCTTGGTTGTCGTCTTGGATGAAGGAGGAGCTGTCTGCTTGGGCTTGGGCTTCTGCTTGGGGGGCGCCGCCAAGGGCTGAGCACGCGGAGAGCGTGATCCACGGCGGTCGCCGTGTGCCAGCACCGTGGCCGCGGCGATCAGGTTTTCCTCGGACGTCGAGTTCCGCGGGCTGACAATTCCCGTGTCAGATGCCGCGGACTGCTGGAGCGGCTGAGAAGGCAGGAGCTGGGGGACAGAGAAGACACCCTCGCCGTCGATGACGGAAGCAGACAATGCCATGCCACCAATGGAGGAAGCCAGCCCCTGCATGTTGCCGATCAGCGTTTCAATCGGCATGCCGGCCAATGAGGCTTGGTGCTCAAGGTCCTGGATGGCGGCAAACTCCTCCTGGAGCTGTTCCACCAGGTCATCGCATTCACCGCGCAAGTCGGCATTGGAATCGGCCAGTGCGGTGTACACAGCGGCCTGCTTCTTGCGTGAGCTGTGTGATGGGAACGGCGGATAGAAGGGGGAGGAGAGAGAGAGGGGGGGGGGAGAAGAGGATAAATGGAGTGTCAATGGTCTGTGAGACTATGTGGTTCGCCAGGGCATTTTGTGATCCTCGACGCCGCCCTGGGGGGGGAGGGGGGGGGGGGGGGGGGTGCAGGGCATCTGTGCTCTGTTTCTTGCCCGTGTTCCCCCTTGGTTTGCACAACCTGCGGCGGGTGCCGCGCACCCACCCCAGCCAGGGGCCCAGGCATCTGCGTTGGCATGTTGAAACTCCGGCCCGAACACGGGAGTAGACTCGGGGGTGGGCGCAAAGGGGGGCGGGGGGGGGGGGGGCCTCGGTGACGGGAGAGCTGGCTGGGACCCCCTGTGCGTCGAAAGGCACACAGAGTCCTCGGGAGAAAGACAGGAGGAGAGACAGGAATAACTCATTGGGAAGCACCCTATAAGCAAGTCCAGATCCTTACCGGACAACCGTCATCCTACCCCCCCCCCCCCCTCTATCTCTCTCTCACCCCCCTGTCCTTCGGCCTCCTCCTCCTCTCCTTACACTCCAAACATTGGGCTGTACACCAACACAGGACCAGACAACCAATGTGGAACGGGGGAGGGGGGGGGGGGGGATACGTACCGACGACACACTTCACGATGCCGGAGCTTGCGGTCCAACTCCTTCTGGTTCGGGTGCTGGGACGGCGGCGAGCCAGAGTCCGGGCTATCCAGCACCTGAGGGGGCCGGGTTGTCCGCACGGCCGGAGTCGGGGGGTGGTGCTGCTTGCTAGACTGCTTGCGCGGAGTTGACCGATCCTGCTGACTTTTGGCGCCACTCCTGGTGGCCGTGGCGGTGGGCTTTTCCTTCACCAGCGAGTTGGAGTCCTTCTTGCTGGGCATGGTGTCGTCCTTCATCTTTTTGGGACCCGTGCGTCCAAAGCAAAGGCCCCACTTATTCTGGGAGATTGGGCCGACGGAAAGGGGGGGCCTTAGTTAGCAGGACAGGAGGCACGGATGTGGACTTGCCCGCGTCATCGATTGGGCAGAAGGGGAGAGCAGTGGCTTCGCGCGCGCGCGCGCGAGCGCGCGGGCCAGCAAAAGAAGGAGGGGCCCCGTAAGATGGCGCACCTTTGGCACGACTGACAAAATGGGGCCGGCGAAAGTGACCACCGGGGCGGGACAAATGGGTTGAGCATGGGCTTGGGTGAGAGGAGAGGCTACACAGGAAGAAGCCTTGACCGATGGACAGGAGTCGGCTGATGGCTCGGGGAAGGACAGAGCCCCCTCCCCTCCTGAGAGAGGGAGGGCTCAGGAGCCGAGATGGTATATGGCAAGACAGGGCCCCAGGAGGGCCAAGGTGTGTGGGCGGGGGGAGGGGGGAGAAAAGGGGAGAAAAGGGAGAGGGAGAGAGAGAGAGAGAGAGGTATGTACGCACACGAGAAGCCCGAAAGAAAACGGACTAACCAAGGGTGCGCCAAGAGAGGGAGGCGGGGCGCGACCTGGGCGCCCCCAGGGAACAAGTAGATCGATGAACAGCGAAAGGGGGAGAAGGAGCAAAAGGATGGGCCATACAGGCCAAGGAAGGGGGAATACCAACGTAGGATTTTGTTCAACGGTTAGAAAATGTCATTTACAGCTGCTGAAAAAAGACCACCCGGACCGGAAGTGTGGACAGAAAAGTGAAAAAAGGAAGTGAGCACGGGAAATGGCGAAAAATCGCAGATCCCCGTCCTGCCGGCAGGACGGGGGACACACACACACTCCACCCCCCGTGTCAGCTCCTCCATTCTGTCCACGGAAGGGAGCCTGTGGGTGATCTTATTTCTGTGGGGAGTTGACATGGCGCTGGGCCGGGTTGGGCCAACTTTCGGATTCGGCACCTGGACGGGCCCTGCACGCGAAGGGGCCCTCCAGGTGTCGGGGCTGCCCGTGTACCATATCTGCCCCCCGCCCATTCGGCCTCTCTTTCTGTCTCCCTCTCTCTCTTTCTCCTTCTCTCGACCTCTCCTTCTCTCGACCTCTCCTTGTCTCTTTTTGCCTCTCCGCTCTGCCTTGCGCTGTGGCTTTTCTTGCATCATGGGCTCGCTGACCTCTTCGCCGGCCTGTGCCGGCCAGAAGAGCGGTCTACAGCTCAGACATGCGTCTCGGCGAAAGGAGCACAGAGGAGGGCAAAGGGATGCAAGTGGACCCAGAGGTGGGGAGATGGCAAAGGAGCAGAGGGGAGCACGCGTGCGCATGCCTGTGTGTGTGTGTGTGCGGGAGGGGGGGGGGGAGGCGACATGGGTGCGTACCGGCTGCGAGGGTGAGGCACGACTCTGCCGAGCGCGTTTGGCTGTGCAATCGACGCGGAAGTCGAGACAACGAGGGGGGCGGGCGGGA